AGATGTTTGATTATTTAAAGCAAATTTAAAAAAGAGTAAAGTTTAAGATAAACTAAAAAAAATATATTACATTAAATAAATGTTGATAAGAATCATGTAAGTATGGTATATCTTATCATAAAATAGATGCATTTATAAATTCTCGATTGAAGTAATACGCGGCTACGTTTGAAATATATATCGAGTTGTGTAATAACTTTTATATAATTGTTACTTCTGATATAGTTAATTTAAATTTAATTTCTCTTCGCATAGGACACTAGTCACTAAACGAAACAGAAAACTTTCCTTTTCTCCAAAAAAAATGAATGTTCATTATAGAAAGATGCTGGTAGAAAATTTTCACTATAGAAAACTCTTTGAAACTCCCCCTAAAACGAATTGCGTAACTGCTTCATAATACACATTCTTAAAAACAACTATTTTTCTTAAGTTATAAAAGTCTAGATAAAGATCAAAATCGATTGACATTTAACTCTGTTATAAAAGAACAAACAATTTATGTTAAACTTGTTTATGTCGCTTACACAATAGTTACATTTTTTTAATATCGCATATATCTATAATACCTTATTTGTAAACCAACCGGTATATAAAAAACACGAGGTCTGCTTTCGTAAATATCCAACGTAGGAATAATTTTCCCAACAGTAATGGGATCTTTCTTGATGGTATCGGGGGTCTACCCTTCATTTCATCCTTTGGCTGATAAAATTCGCGGACATATCCAAGTATCACTCACTCACTCACAATTTTTTTTATTTATCAAAGCAAAGGTGCGCGGTCGAATGCGCTCGACTGACTGCGCCCGCGCAAGCCTGTGTACCAAATCCACTCTTACGCAAACGCCTCTGGACCTGTCACCAATGACCGCGATCGAGAAAGTGCATGATATCATTATCTTAACAAGACCATAACTCTTTGTAATCATGTTTCAATCGGTAGTTTATCTTAACGTAATAAATAAATAAACAGATGTTTATGTAGACACTACAGACCGTATTGTTTGTTGTGACCCAGTTTATTATAGTTTTACCATGATATGAATGTTTATCATTCAGGTTATAGTGGATTTCATACTTGGGTCATCGCACACAACATGGGGTTTATAAGCAGGATTTTACAATACTTACTTCTTTAAAATTTTCAATGCATTATACTCTGGTCTGTGGAGAGTAGAGGTAAAATATTACGGATTTTCACTTAACCCTATCAGGGGATACCTCTTCTATTAACAAATTAAAAGGTTAAATAGACAGAGAGTAATTCTCTGTTAGACTTTTTCCTCTTCTCTGCCTTCACAAGCAACTTAATTAAGAAAAAATCAAAATTTTGTTAAAGTTATTAGACATTTACGACTGTTTTATAGCCTAGACATGGTGATTCGTTGACGCAAATTGGCGATGTTAACCAACACTATCCTCCATCTTTTACTTTCTAGACAATGCTTAAAAACAGCGCAGAGTAACAAAGACGCTGTACGACCTCGATTTAATATTAATCACGTTTTTTTCAACCCATCCGTTTGCTTACGGTCCATCGACCGGCCAGATCACGATCTTAACCGCCATTAGTATGCTTATTCCGTACTAAGTATACGCATACCATACATACAGACATAAAGCGTATCGGAGTTGCTTCACATATTCATTTTCCTCTAATAGACCTCTATGGTCTCTTCCTATTACTTGTTGAGGATATAGAATCCAGTGATGTCACTCTAGGAAGTTTTTCGCTTTATGTATTTCATTCCCATAGAACCATTATCTTAATTTACTTCTACTTGAGGTAGGGCCCGAAACTAGTTGTTAAGAAAATCCAAATTTCCGGTGAATAGACGACATAAATCGAGATGCGAGAAACGTTGGCATAGCAAAATGGAGGACCGTGGCCAGAGATAGGCGGAAATGGAAGAAGTTTCTAGACCAAGCCAAGGCCCACGGGCTTTAGAGCTATAGAAGAAGTAGATAGCTTCAATCTGTGTCCGTTATATGATTAGTTTCTTGTTTTACAAAATTTAATTTATCTAGAGAGACAATAAAATGTTCATTTAATAATACTGTAGTTAAAATCTTTAAAATTATTTTTTTGATAATTATATTTTAATTGAGTAATTAATTTGTTTTTTATAGTCAAATACATCAAAGCGATACTAATTAACTCTTAGTTGCATTAGAAAGTAAATGACTCATCTTTTACATTTCTAAATTAAATTTTATGAATTGAAATAAATGCGAACTTCAAGTGCTCGAATTAAGCCCAAAGTCTACAAAAGTGAATAATATTATTACTCACTTTTCTTTGTATTAAACTTAGAAATTACTTAGTCGAAATATCATAGAATTAACAATTTTGTTTATCAAGTCGCTGACGAAAGCTTTGTTTGAATAAAAATATAATTCTTTGGAATGACGAAATCATTTCCGCATACATCTATATTTTAGTTATAATAAAACAATAATACAATCGTTGATACATTCATAAATCATTTAAATCACATTGGTTTTTAAGACGATAGAAAAAAATAAAATAACTATAAGTTTTGTTTCTAAGCTTATATGACGTAATATGTACATCTAGGGTTCTGAATAATTCTTTTGTTATAAGTGAATTATAAAATGTATCAAGTGAATAAAAGTTGTAAAAACTGTACAATCTGTAAAGTAACTAAATGTTTAACCAAATTACAAATTTGCATTAAAAATAATGACAATTTCCAACCAATACCAATATGGCGCTTGATATTTACCCAAATTCTTAAATAACGGCGCGGCCTACAATCACTTAGAGCGCGCGAACACCTGTAACTAAACTATCGCACAACTGTGTAGTCTCGCTTCGATTCCTATGAGCTTATATGGAGGTACGCACACTACTCGGTTTTTAGATGTGCAACTAAACAGTTGAATATTCTACGAAACAAGCGACGATCGCACATTTGTTGTGTCAAAGGTGTGCGCGCGCTCTTTGTACGCGACTGAGTTGAGAAAACAACTTTTTAAAATGTCCTCAAAGATACTGAACCTTGAACTGAAAGTAATACATTTGTACAATTTTAATTTAGTCACTTTTAATATTGTTAGTCAATGTTTGAGTGAAAGTAAAAAACAATTTAACCAAACTCGACCGAAGATTCCCACATTTCTTATTGCTTGTTATGTAAGTTCTACTACTCTCGAAACTGAAACTATTTATCCATACTAATATTATTGTTTGTTTGTTTGATTGTAATTAAAAATCATTCATAAACTACTAGTCTGATTTAAAAAAAAAATTCACCATTATAAAGCTACATTGTCAGTGGCATAGAGTATGTTTTATATTATTTTTTAATTCCACGCAGACGGAGTCGCAGGCGAAAGCTAGTTGTAAATAAATTGATTAGTCCAATGAGATACAATAACTACTTTATTAGTTTACACAATATATTATAATACATTCTAATTTAATATAATAAACGTCACTGTAAATGCGGAATTCGTTTTAAGAGTTAATTTGTATGCGATTTTTTAAATATTCAAGCTATACTAAATAAAAATACAATAGACGTTTATCTTCTTACAAATTTATCAATTTGCTCTGAAAACATTGTTACCGTAGGTCTCTATTGCCGTAACACCTGTACGAGGACGTAATTTCAAAAATAGAATAGTTATAACTATTTTTTTATGGTTTTTGGGCAGTGGAAACGTACGGTTATACGAGTTACATCTTGTTGAGGATTCGAAAAGTCTAGAACGACCATAATACATCAGTCCTTGTAATAATTTGGGCAAGGCCTTTGCTGCATGTAGAAACAAGGAATCTAATTCTCTTTGCTATATTTGTTATGGACATAGAAATGAAAACAACTAAAATAAATCCAGTTAATTGGTTTAATGAATAATAATTAGCAAAGTAATTAATTAACGTTTGTCAACTTTTAACAATTTTTTTTCGTAAGTTTGTGTGTCGAATATTTGGCCGTGTCCATTTAAATGGCACATGGTCTCGCAATTTTATTTGTTCAATATATTTGTATGCGCTAAGTAAGCCGAGATATTCTGAACGCAATCCTTGTGAAACTGATACGACACAGGTTCAGCAACTCTGTACCTTTTATGTTTACGATTACGATCGAATTGAGATTGTAGGAATGTATCTTGATTTTACCAAATAACAAGGTAATGTTAAAGTTCAGTTACTGTGGGTTGTGGCTTAAAGGGATTGTCCGATTTTGAAGTGACCTTGACCACCGGCAATTAATCTGCAGTTCATCTCAGTTTTCCCGCTGTTCATTTGTTTTTAAAAATGTCTAGTAGCCGTAGTTTTTTCTGACATGTCTAGAGGTAAACATTTCTACTTCTAATAAAAGTACTTAAACATTTGATGTTGATCTCAGCGTTAACATAACAATACGTTTGTACCTAATGTCACCTCAATTTCTTACCTTTGATTTAAAATGTTGGTAGGCGCTTCTTTCAATGTTTATTCAAAGTATTTGTTTAAAAAATGACGAAAATAATTAACATACAATAAGCCGCTATGCAAATGTTACATATCTAGGTTAAGCGTATATTTCAAAGTACGCTGATGTGAAACTAGAATCATTACCTTACCATTCATAGTTTAAATTACTTACTATGCATTAGGAAAATGAAAATTCACTGTCAATGAGTTGCAGATTTTCTGGGTGTATGAGAAGATAAAGAAAATGCAGTTTTCATTATAAACAATCACTAACTATTCCGAGTTGTAGTCGATTTTTTAAATATCAAAGAGCAATATCATCTCACAGTACCTCCCGTGTGGTATCTTTGTTCATTTAGGGCCTGTCACACCGAATTATAAGATGTCTGAACAATCCAATGTGAAATACGTGACGGAAATATCGGATTTTATTACCCTATCTGACAGTGCTGCCACTTTTAAGCTATCTGAGCCTGAGCCAGTGGTGAGACAGGCCCTTAATCTCATACAAGACTCAAGATTTTAAATTGAGGTTATGTATTTTCTTGCAGATCCCTGTCTATATATATTACGGTTCGCATCGCAGTTGCAGTTCGATGTGAAACAGCATGACGTGAGCATGACAGCGCTGCGATTGGTGCAGAGGATGAAGAGAGACTCCATACATTCAGGTCGACGGCCATCGGGGATTTGTGGAGCAGGTAAGAAACTAGGGTATACGAAATTCTACCAACTGCCACTTTAAGAGAGTCCCTTAATGGATATTTAGAATGTGAAATTCATACTACGGACAGGCTTAAGATCCAGGTCTGGAGAAAGGTTGTAAGCGCTAGTATCTATCGTATCATAAGAAATATAACGTAATTTCCAGCACTACTCATAGCAGCCCGTCTACATGACTTCTCAAGAACACCATCGGATGTGGTGCGTATAGTCAAAGTGCATGAATCGACTTTGAGAAAGAGGTTACTTGAGTTTGGAGAGACTCCCTCTAGTGCGCTTACACTGGACGAATTCATGACTGTTGATTTAGAAGAGGAACAAGACCCGCCAGCGTTTAGAGCAGCAAGAAAAAAGGACAAGGAAAGACTTCAAAGGGTATGATATAGTTTTATAAATAAGATTTCCGTACTCAATTTCAAAACGTTAATGGTGCAGTTGTTAAGTGCTGGACTCTACATGCTTAGGTTCTACAATATATGTGAATGCATTATTCCAGTGTGGTTTGTCTATGGCCTAGTTACCCTTTTGGTATACTAGTCTACTTGGGTAGACTGCGCCCCTCGGTGGGGACATATAAGAGCTGTCGATACGTTGAATTTATTTAATACGTTTACGTGTGGTACCCGTATGCAAATAGAAATATCTTGTCTTACAGTTAATGGAAGAAGAGGATGGCGAGAAGGAAATTACTGAGTTGCAGAAAGAGATAGAATTACAATTAGATAGAGATAATTCTAGACGAAGGAAGGTGGCCACTACCAGCACATTATCACCAGTAAGCATCGGTACGGTACATCGAATACAAGTGTAAAAACCATGTTAGGGTGGAATCAAAGAAACATTTGTATTAAAACTTATTGTTTTCTTGTATTTTTAAAGATAATGAACGAGATCACAATACGTTTGATACAAGTGTTTCGCCCTAGGACATCTACCAAAGCACCTCCGCTAGCTTTCGCCCGCGATTTCATCTGCGTGGAGTTAAAAAAACAAATGAAAGTAGCATTTGTGTCTTTCCAGACTATGCTATATGTCTATGCCAAAGTTCGAGATCGTTCGGCAGGTTTAGGCTGCAAACTGACAAACATTGATCCATCTAACATTTCGCATTTATAATATCGTTTAACATAGGAAAGTTTAATTAAAGAAACTGTTCTGTATTTCTCATTTCTAGTAGAAGATATTTTCTTAAGATTATTCCAATTGGTTTCAGAGGAGGTTTCGACTGAAGACGTGGAGGCATCCAGGTTCGCGGCGGAGGACACGCTGGACTTGCTGGGCGAGCTGGCTCGGGAGACGGACGGCGTCACTGGAGACCGCACACAGAATAAGATAAGATTCGAAAAAGGACTAGGTAAATACGTTACCGTGTTCCCGCGGCTTCTGCCGCGTAGAATTAAAAAAACTTAGTAACCTGTGTGTTCTTCCAGACTATGTTCTACATCTGTGCCATATTTCGTAGAGATTTTTTAAAGCGTTTTGGAGATACGTGCAATTATCCATGCAAACTTTCGTAATATTAGTATCTTCCCATTTATTGTGTAGGTTTACTTAGTTTATTTCATTTATATGTTTATTTTCACAAAATAATATGTAAGTACCGCTATGCTTAGGACTTGACATTTGTCTATTCGTAATACTTTTCTCTCTTTTCCTCGCGATCTCTTATGTTAGTGAAACCGAATTTTTTAGTTACTAAAATACTCTCGTCTAAACATTTCCTCGGCTAAATTACTAGCTTAGTTCGGACTAGGTATTACTGTTCGTTACTAATGATGATACCATAAAAAAGAAATTATTAAGATCAAATAAGTATGGTTACACAGGTAGAGGAAGAGGAAAGAAAGTGTGGATGGATTGTGTGAAAGAGGATATGCTTAAGAGAATAGATTTAGATATGACGGCTGATGAAATGTATGAAAGAACACATGTCGACCCTCCGTAGGGTCAAATTGACTAATGGAATGTACCACCGCAGGTCCAGACTTAGCTGTGATCGGTCTCGGTCAACCCGAGGAGAAAGACAAGTTCGTAAAGCCGGAGCCGAAGTCCCAGTTCAGCAAGGATCTGCAGCAGGAGGAGTTGCAGCTGAGCGAGCGCGATGAGGAGTACGTGAGCTCCCTCATCATGAGCGAGGAGGAGGCGCGTCTCAAGACCAGGCTGTGGAACAACTTGAATGCTAGCTATTTGAAGGAACAGAAAAGTAAGTCTTGTAGTTGGCACGTCGATTAAAAGAATAGGCTTGTTTTTGACGTGCCAAATTAAATACTGATGCAAGTATTAGTTGTATAATATACATCTATACTAATATGATAAAGAGGAAAGATTTGTATTTTTGTATGTATTGAAATAACTCAAAAACTACTGAGCCGATTTCAAAAATTCTTTCACCATTAGAACGGTAATTTATCTGTGAGTAAAATAGGCAATATCTTATATTATTTTTTTAATTTCACGGAGACGAAGTCGCGAGTAACATCTAGTCTTTTAACAATTTTGTCGTACTTAAGATAGCTGTAAATATAATTCCGAATAGTCTTTTACAAATAAATTAAAGGGTTTTAACAATTCTAATATCTCAGTAAAAGAAGAAATACGAGCCAAAGAAAAGGAAGAAGGTAAGAAGAAGAAGGTACGTGGATCTTATAAGAAGAAAGTAGCGCTGAACGCTGCGACCGCGGGAGAAGCTATTGAGAAAATGTTGGCAGAAAAGAAGATAAGCACCAAGATTAATTACGATATACTGAAAAGCCTCGACCAGCCCGGCTCGCTGGCTACCAGCACGACTGTCCCCGCCACGCCCACTGTGCCGTCCACGCCCACTGTTTCCACCACGCCCACAGTTTCCGTCACGCCCACTGTGCCCACCACCCCCGCGAGGACTTTAAAAGTAGATGAGTAAGTCACAATATATAAAAAGACAGTTATTATCGAAATATTTTAATACTCCTAATGTTACTATGTTGGATTTGATTTAATTCAAATATGAAATCTGTTTTTCTTTCATTTGTCTATATGTATGTGTTGCCACTTATTTCTTTAATTATGTATGTATTGGAAAATATCAACTCATGGGGTAATTAATTTCAGGTCTAAACTAACGACGCCGAAAGAAACAGTTGCCCCGTCGCCTGTACCTCGTAAACGCAAGAAGAAGGAGAAGTGTGGGGCTCTGCCCACGCCCAGCCCCAAGCCGGCCCCGCCCACCCCCAAACCCGCCACAGAAACTGGTAACATTCTCTTATACTTATGTACCTAAATAAAAAAGTATTACACTAGTTGTCTTCGACCACGCGGAATTAAATCATACTATCATCATACTAATATACTAATATTACAAATGCGAAAGTTTAGATGGATGGATGTTTGTTAGAGTTTGTAGCCTGAACGGCTGGACGGATTTCTGTAAAATTTGGTATAGATGTAGAGGATATTCTGGAAAAACACTTAGGGTTCGTACTTTTGTTTTTTTTATTCCCACGCGGACGGAGTCGCTGGCGAAAGCTCTTTTATGTAATAAAATAAACACTTAACGCGTCCTTGCAGTGTCTCGATGTTTTCATATATCTTATGGGCTCTGAACAGAAGAACGAAAGAACGCAATTATAGTTTTGGATTACAAGGACATATTGACGTTTGAAAAGCGTTATATTATCACTTTCTCTGTACATCTAAATAAAAACCCTGTTTTTTCCAGAAACAATGGATGACTATGATGAGGATGAGCCGGAAGTGCCTGACGTCAGCAGTGAGATGTCGCTCGCCGCCATGTTGCAAAATGGCGACGACGATGATTACTACGGTTATGACGAATATTAAATAAAAAAAACTATCAATAAACGTAAATTACATAATTTTATGCAAAAGTGTATCCCACCAATATTTCGCTTAAAAATATTGCTAAAACATAAATTTAGGGGCTTAGCTGGGCTCTATTGAAAAAGTTGTTAGCAATACTTCTTGAAACAATGTTCCTATTGGAATACATTTTTAAATTTAACTAAAAAGTATATATTTTATATACTATATACCATAAAAGCAATAAAATGTAATATTTATAAGTACAATTTCGTACCAATAGGCGATATGCATATGACGCCAAATTGGGCCAAACTTTTTTAAGTATACTTTATTACTATATAAAGATACATGTGAAGATTTTTTGTAATATAATGTGATTTGGTGGCGAAATTCAATCATTAAAAAGTGTTAAAACGCAACTATAGCTCAAAGATAACAAAACTAGCTTTAAAATAAATGGAAAGAATCATTATTACTTATTTGTAAGAATAATGAAATTTAAATAAAATATTGGTCGTGTATATTTCCGAGTAAATATTTTCATGAACACAGTATTGTGTATTCTCTCGTGGTTGTATTGTTTTAAAATTATTTTTATGAGTTTTCCAAAACTCATAAATTTAATCGATTTTCGGCTTTTGATTTGATAACTTTGAGAACCAGTGAAATAGTCTGTTGTTATTTTACATCGGAGTGACGTCTGAGCGAATGTGATATGAAATGTGACGATTGACGTCACATGTCTCAAGCCAGCTCCAGCCGCGTTTTAGTCGTAGGAAAATGATTCTAATTCCATTAGCTTAATAGTTGAATCTTTTCGAGTCAATGTTTTTTTCTGGTTATCTTATAACAAGTAAAAACGTTTAAAAAAAGTTAATAATATATGCATATTGATTATTCTTTCCGATTTAGAGAATCGATGTGTTTTTAAAAACTTTGTACTTGGTCTGTGTTGTTTTTAATTCATATGTGTAGATGAAATTTAAGTTTAGTTTATATGTACTTATATACTTGTATTGAAGAAAATAAGGTGTATTTAAATGTATTGTGTTGTATGTATGTTATTCCCTATAGTGAAATAAATATATATTTTTAATAAGATAGAGGACAAAATAATACCAATTCACACATGCTTGAATGTGATAGCATTAGTGTAAGTATTTTTTGGATAAATTACTATATTGTTCAAAGATTTTACATTTAAAAATAGCGAATAAATATATTATTAAAACTGTTTCAAACTGAATTTTTAGATCAATCTTTTGTCGTAAAAAATCGATTATTTAGCGATTTAATGATCTCGATTAGCTCTAAGTTTTATTTCCAATATTTTAGGTTAATTAGTTTAGATGTGTTTTCATATTTACATTGTATTTATCGTTATAAAATTTGTAAAAGTAACAAATATTAGGCATCTTTACTGAGTATTTAATTCCAATTTAATATGTATCGTAGATTTTAAGGTATGTTGAGAATATAAAGGTTTTTATGTAATGTAAGCAAGTTATATTTAAGCCTTGCCATTTCACGGAAAGCAATACTTTACATCATTAAAGGAGTTTCACTTATTTTATAATATACATTTGTTTTTTTTAACTTTGACTACCCTCAATAATATAACATTTTACGTGAATTTGTAAGTTCAAAATACTTTATATATCATAAATGTTAAACTATGATAAATTAAGACAAAGTAAAAGGGAGTATATATCAAAATAATGATATAATGCAACAAAGTTAGGTCCTATATATTTCATAGTATGATTCTACCAATATTTTTTTACAAAGTGATTTGTTTTGCATATATACTAAATGAGCTCATACAAATCAGTTATATATAGTACTACATAGTACATAGTATTTGTACTTGCTATGAACAGTTAACAATATCTACATATTTTGACATGTAGTGATTTATATACCCTTTATATGAAGATATTTAGTATAGCACTTTCAGTTGAGTTACTAAATACTGCGACAACCAAATTTCACTCAAAATGTAAAACCAATTTGAAAGAAAAATCATAAAACACCACCACTAATCACCTAAGTAATCTATTATGTTCTTTGAAATAGTAAACAATAAACTAATGTACAAGTATGCGCAAACGCATGGCTCGAACGAAACTTGTCGCTACAAGAACGCGCGACTTGTTCACGCGACCCCACCGCAGCAAAGTTCAGTGAATCAGTCGTAGTTGCATAAAAAGATCACAAACAAACGTTCGTACACCACATTCAGTTTTATCAGGAACCAAGTGATAATTTACACTATTATGGGGTTTTTGTGTCGACCGCAAAAAAGAAACAAAATTGTGCGAACTAATTTTGTTATAACTTCGAAGATTAAAAATTATCTAAGATCAAAACGCGGCCAAATTACCTTTCGAATGAATTTTATTCAGCTGTTAAATGATTCAACTATACTTCTAATAAAACCGTAAGTATATAATTAAATTTTTACCCATTTTTAATTTTAAATTACATACATTTGAATCTAATTTTGGTTTAAAAAACTTATTTTCTTTTGTTTGAATATTAAAAAAAACCATCTTATTATTGAACAGTTAATTTCGAATTTCCCGCTTTTGTTCCACAGTCAAGGAACTTGATACAGGGTTGCTATAAAAAAGATTTCTCATTTTCGGTGTTAGACTTTGAACAGTTCTACAAAAAAAAAATTCGGATAAACATTTAACTTAACTTCTAGTTAACTTGCGACAATGAAATTTTGTAATTGAATCAAACGATTTTTTAAACCAGGTAACTCATTTTATGACAATTTGTGAATTAATTAATTTTTCGTTTGTAATGCGCGGTTCACATTTGGCCAGTACAGTTACAGTTGCGACTACCAGTGAAAAAATGTATGGATTCACTGGTACCAGTTACCGTTTACCTGAGTCAGTTGATTGCCAGTCCAGTTACTGTGCGCTACCAACCAACTGTACTGGCCAAGAGGGAACCGCGCATAAATGTTGGCCACCATGTCGAGTGAACTTGTCTATAGCATTCAAAGACCAACGCGAAGTTAGCAAAACTCAATGTAAAAACACGATTACATTTTAGTTTGTGTTTATGATTGTGTGTGCTATTTGTTACACCTTGAGCGGTATATCTTTAAAACTATCAAAATAGTTTAAAAATAGTGCTTTTTCTGCATACGTGATTGGAATAACCTTACCAGGATCGTAATAATACATGTTTCTGAAAGTGAAGTGTAAATCCTCTGGGGATTGTGGAATAATGAAAAGCAGTGCATTTATCGCTTTGTAGCGATGTGTGAATTCAGTAATTTGAATTGATAGTGATTTAATGTAATTCATGGTGTTTCAGAAAATATCAGTGTTATTTGCAAAGCATAGTTCGAATCATAGGGTCCATAAAGGAGCAGACGGATTCTATCATGGTCGTAAAACGGTAAGTTTTTTACAACGTGGTCCTTGTACGTAAAGATTGTTAACAGCATGAAATCGTTGCCAAACTCGTTTATACATCTGAAATTACTTTAAACCATATTGTTTCTACGATTTTTATTTTAATTATCGTTCTCCGTGACATTTGATCATAGCGCCTCATTCATAGTTTAGCTAATATGCAGTGCATGTTTATCTTTGTTTGTTTACTTTGGCTGAATTAAATCTTTTCATGTACAGTCCAGTTATTTCGATGCCATTATATTTCTAGGATTAAATCTTTGTTTACTGCAATATCCATCGATTTACTAAATAGCAAGTTGCTAGTCTATTGTTTTGGTTGACAAGGTTTAATTTACAAAAACAGTTAAGTTTCTATGCGTCAAACTAATTTGCTCGATTAGTTAACGTCTGGAATATGAACTATAAATACAAAGAGCATAATTAACTTATTAATATAGTTATTGTAATAATGTAATTCAGATCTTTTCTTTTTGTTTAAAATAAGTTTGATGAAAATTCGGCATGATTCACTACAGTAAAGCCTTTTGCTTTTTTTTTAAATGTCCACCGTCTTTTCTCATAGTTAGACTTTTGGCCCCATTTGTTTATATAAATCTTGTTAAATTTTATAGATAATTGGAATACTTGTTCATTTCTTAGGTTCTATAAGTTATTACAGTGATGTTTTGTGTTTCTTGTGTTAATGCTTTTTTTCCATTTTCTTCTGAACTGAGAGTAGCAATATAATACATATTACCAGTTTTATAGTTTACAAAATATTGGTAACATTTTATACTTCCAAACATATATAATTAGTAAAAACGCAATAGTTATGTTTCAATCTTTGTTTTTAAAAAATAAAGTAGCATGTAGCCTTCGACCACTTAAGATCAGGAGGGAATGTGGCTGAGCGGTAGATTCTTTGCAATAATAAAGTTGAAGAGAAACACAAAATATTTTAAATTATAGAGGTTTTAAGTTATCAAGGGTCTATGTTGTAGAGGTTTTGGGCTCTGATAGAGAGGGAACATATTATTTTTTGAAGTTATAGAGGTTTTTAATCTGTGTGAAATTGAATTGCCATATCAATTGCATACTTGCGGGTTATTTATCAGATGAAACAGAATCCTTCTACTAGCATAAAATTGTGAAAATCTTATTTTATTGTTTACATTTGTCAAATTATCACTTGCAAATGTCAAAGGATATGACATGATGACAAACCATGGCAACCTTGCTTCCTTGATGATGGCAGAAACTTATGGTCTCTTTCCCATTAGGTTTTTTATCCAAAATATTTATGTTTATTGATTTTTCATTGAAAATATGTAGTTAATATTATTTTAGGCTTGCGACAAATATATGCTTACTATCGGTATTTGCCTATTTAGCTGCTTGTATAATATTTGGCTGAATAAAGAATATTTACATACTATTCGACTAAAAACTTAAATTATTACTTTGTTATATGGAGATAGTAAAATTAAAATAAAAAATTGGTTCATTATGAATGTATTCATATTTTCATTACATAACTATTTATAACAAATTTTTTTTTTTTTATGTATAACTCTCATCTTATTTTGTAACCACATATTTTAAATTCCGCAAGACAATCGTTAAAAGAAGACGCTGCCTCCTGAAACACAGTTATTACTAGCTCAGGAGACAGAGTCCCACTAACTGTACTAAACTGTTTTAGATCAATAAAGGATTTTATTTTATTTATTATTTTTTATGTAGTTGCTGGTATAACTCAAGTATGTGAGTATTTCTATGCATTTAAATTATTTTGATAATCATAACATAGAAGGGGAAGGTTATGATGGAGAAAGGCTAATTTTCCTGTATTTTAAAAAGAAGCTTACTTCTTTTTTCTCACAGGGCATTCCAATTTGTCATAGATCTACGTTTTGGTGCTAAAATCTTGTTGAATACTTTTGCCTGATATTAAGCTATTCAGTCAGGGGGCAAATATTCGATACTCGGTATACCGCCGAATATATTGCTTGTTGCAAGCCTATTTTTTTTATTTACTGCCAGCAAAGGTTATTTTGTTTTTTATCGTTTATTGTGTTGGAAGCACGTGGAGTGTTAACATCCGCCGCTAGCATATGGGACACCTGCCGAAGTGGGGGGCGCGCACCTGCCCAACAGATGTTTCGTTCCCCATACAAAAATATAGGGCAGCGGCAAGGGACCGGCCTTAGAACTTATAAGGTATTTACTTCAAACGTACACGTGTCGTTTTTCACGTGTAAGTACTTTGAATTGCGTATTTGTAATTTTTTTTTAATTTTATAAAATAAATACTTCGCGGTTGCTCGGTGGAGTCTAGTTAGAGTTTTACATTTTCTTAATTGTAAACTAGTTAATTTCGGTGATATATTGAAATTGTAATTTACAAGCTGTTGCTCGCGACTTCGACTGCGTGAAATTAAATAAAAAACATACAGATGAATTAGCTACCTCCTTTTAAGAAGTCGGTCAAAAATAACCTTACTGGCTGAAAATGTAGCTTTTTAGTGGTATAAGTATTATTTAATTTGGCCCAGTAGCTTTTGAGTTTTTCAATACATTAAAAAATATAAATCTTTCCTCTTTATAGTTAGTATAGATAAGAGTTATGTGTACTTTGTTAGCTGATTAATAGATATTAAAGTATAGCATTAAGCTGTAGAATTTCTTTGTTTAACGAGTCTAATTTCAACTGCCAGCGTAGCGAGCGCTGCGGTGACCCCTACAATGACTTTAATTAAATGTGCTTGCTTTGTTCGACATTAGGTTTCAATGAAATATAAATGACGAATCAGGAGTCTATTTTAAGAGATTCTATTTACACTGTTACATTCTTTAGTTGTTGCAATATGAAGAGAAATTATAAGAACTTTGTATAGTATCTTCTTTTCCATGTGTCCACTCTAGTGACGGATACTGTAAACAAATGAAAGATTGTAATATAGCAAATGTGTTAAATAAAGCAACTGGTAACTCTTTAATTCTATTAGTTCCCTATCAACCTCTAGACACGCGCCGCTACGTAACTTAACGTCCAGGCTAACTCGATTCGTATGGAAGCAATCGAATTAAATTTCTCGATATAGTAAAAGGGTCCTTTACGTAGGGATGTGTTCATACTCTTACATGTGTTAACATTGTGTTTTTTGACCATACGGACCTGTCCCACCAAATTATAAATTGTCTGATAACAATTCATCATGTAAAATATGTGATGGAAATGTCGGGTTTTGTTACCTTACAGTAGTACTACTTATAGTAGTAATAGATATACTGACAGTGACGTCATTTTTAAACTATCTGATCCTTTATCAGCCAGTGGTGGGAAAGGCCCTATATTGTACTTATCCGCCCTTACCGCCCGGCGATGCTCACCAAAATAACCTCTATAGCCCTAAGAATTGTGTCCACTTGTAGGATGTTTAACCCGCCATTTATATAAAAGTTTTTTGAAATGGTATTGCCTACACAAAAGAAGTTGAAGCTTGTAACTATTTAGTATATCCATTGTCTTTGTAAATAAGGAAATAATTTAATTTGTTAGAAATAGTACAGATAACGGAAGTAGGATCTCTCGTGTTAAATGAATCAATGAACTGAAAATGATTGATGTTCAAATGTCCGAAGTTCCTTCCTCTCAGGTCATTAGTCGTGTGCGAAACGTACTTTACGACAGCGGAATTAACGTCACATTGTTTATTCTTCCATCGACATTTAGTGTAATTATTTTTTCATTTCAATTGATCTTACAAAAGCGTAAAGTTAATGAATGTTTGGTAGCAGGTTATATTTTATTCACGTTTGCCCTTTAGAAACCTCCATGCAAGTTTGGCAGCCCTGTTTATGCGTGTGTTGGCATCGAGGTCGTTGACCCTCTGTGGTTCGGCCTTGTTCGGTGTACTTCGCACTTGGCCAAAATCTCCGAGGTCGTAAATCACGCCCAATAACGGCCACTTGATGCCTAGACTACGGGTTAAATCTTAAGATTATCATTTGTTTAGATGTGAAACAAATAAATACCGTGATAGCTGACGTCACTGAAGTTGTTTACTCACGTTATCGATCAGTTGGCTACGTGACAGTTGACACTTCTCTAGAATGAGTATGTTGTAGTTTAGATATTAGGCAGGTTCTGTGTTCGATTCCCAATAAATAGTGTACAGTTTTATTTAGTTAAAACTTTTTTAAACCCATATTTATAGTTGTGTATAAACGTTGCCATCAATAATACTAAATCGATCGTTTCTAAATGTATATTGTCGTTTGTTTGCTCCAATTTCAATATGTTATTAAAATAGAATTAAATAGTTTCACCTTATCAAATTATTTATGATTGGAAATTCCTCGCTATATGTAAACGTTGTATGTAAAACCCATGTTTATAATATTTTGGGATTTTACTAATTTGTTTAATTTAAACAAATGTTTCATGTTTTAATTATAAATTACGTTTTAACATGATGTAAATGTTGTTTTGATAAATATTCCCAATCATGTAAAGTACCTGCGTTACGTATTTTACTGTAATAGTGTAAAATATCACTAATATAAACAACTAGCTTTCTCCCGTGACTTCATCCGCATGTAAATAAAAAAAAGAAAATATAGTATAATAGCTTATGTGTTCTTCCAGACTATCCTCTACTTCGATGCCAAATTTCATCGAGATCCGTTCACCCGTTTAGACTACAAACTCTAACAAACATCCATCCATCCATCTAAACTTACGCATTTATATTATTAGTATGATATTTGAGCTACCCTACTCGTATTGTTTTGCAAACTAGAGTGTATTACGGTACTAAGGTACATAATCTTTCTGCCCCACTCACAGTTATTTAATGGTTACTTTAACTTTTGTTTGACATGTCTTTAAACAAATAGGTCATCGGTCTCCCCTAACGAATCAGTGTAACTTTCCTACATTTCTTAATTAAATTTGCACTGATAAAGTTAATTTTCCTTTTAACTTAAGCCGAGATA